TATTTGCATCTGACCTGGACCTGGTAGAACAAAAACCACAGAGATTTTAGTAAATAACTTCCTTTTCCACTAATGCATGCGTCCTTGTGGTTCATTCCAGGAATATTATTGTTGGATGTCATCCAAGACGCCTCTAACCTTTTTTCGCGCTATTACTTTAGTTTCTCGCGATGAGCCACAGTACGGCATTGCCTCCAGTGAGCGCCTAGTGTTGTAGACAATGTTCTTGATTTTAAAGATCATCTAATTGCTCTGTGATCCGCACCACGCTTGCTAGTTTTATTGACCCACCAATGTTGAATAAGTAATAGATACCATTTATTCGGTCTTTCGGCGGGATAGAGCATAGAATACAGATTTCTTGGCACAATTGCGTATCAATTGTTGCTTGGCGCTAAAGAAGTGTATCGATACTCTGATTAAGTTTCAAAACTCGTGTGCTGCAAACTTTTTTTGCTTACGGGACTGCCATAACGGATGGTCAGGACGGTACACATTCTGCATTCTCTCAGGCATGACGCATATCCGACGTTTTTGTTTAGCTTCTAATTACTTTAGAGAAGAAGTGCAAAGGAAGTCATTCAACCCAACATATGCATGAAGTGGTGGCGAACCATTTACATAAATTTCGTTTTAAGTCTGTCTGTAATGGCTTTCATTCGCAGAACACTTGAAAAATAAAAGAAATTATATCAACGAAACCTTCTTTGTACTAAAGAAATTATCTTGTGACTTATAGCAAAATGGAATGCGAAATTCTCACGATAATCTTCGTGTTTGTAGTTTCGACTAGACATCTGTTTTGTGATACATTACTAATAAATCCATCTCCCGTCTCCTGATGTGGTAAGTGAACTGACAAGGCATCAGAAATTTTTTTTAGAAACTATGGCGCAAAGCAAGTCGCAGATAGTGAAATAACTAGTCCAAAATCTTTTGATTTCGCCTTCTCTTTTTGCAAAACATTTCAAACGGCTTGATATCTCTTGTCAACAATTAACCAGTGCAGGTTTTTTATTCAAGCGAACATTTCATGCTTTCCTTTCTGTTATTTCTTTATCATAGTCGGTTGTTTCCAACGGCTACTACGCCACCGCAGCAAACCAATGCAATTCTTCATTACACGTTGAGATAAAACGCAACGATTCGCCTATACTGAGGAAATTGGGCTTGCCAACCAATTTGCAATCCATTTCGTTGTGCCTGTAATTTTCGAACTTGGGTCCCAAAGCGGAATCCTTTTAACTTCTTATGAAGATCCCTGTTGCTGTCAGTTCAGTAAATAAAAGCATTTATCCGTGTTTCACAGTGGAAGATTGTTAATGACCAGTTCCGAGCAATAACAAAGTGTAGGCGATGTATAGATGACTTGGCAAAGGAAAAAAAGTGGTTGTGAATGGAGGAAAAGAGTAAGAGCACAAAACCCTTCATACCAAAACAGAAAAAAACGAACATGATAGTGCAGATAAGTATAGACTAGTTTCTGCCGAAGGGGGTGATTTATTTTGCGATGCGGGCACAAACGCAGTGGACGGCGTTAGAGCCAACAAGACTTGCAAACGTTTCTCTTGTGGGAAGATGAGCAAAGAAAACGTCCGCAAAAGAGTTGCAGAGCCACTGCGACCGCTTGATGTGGATTTACATTTGAGACAGTGATTATTGCTCTCATTCTCACTATCGAGGTTTAGAGTACTAATCGCCGATGGGGGGGGGAGAGGGGGGGGGGGAGCGCGGTCATCTGCAACAAATACGCACGTTTTCACATGCAGAAGACGCGATTTTGAAGGAAGTCCGCGCCTCCTACGTTCGACGACATATAGTCCTCTTCCCATTATCGAGCATTTTGAGGCTCGGAGCAAGATTGCATTACCATCGGATTCTTTGGGTTTAAAAATACAGAAAGGAAAGGATATGATACATTTCGTGCTAGTATGTAGATTCTGATATGCAGAACAGAATTACAGCTACAATAACGATACAGAGTTCCAGCAAACGCGTGGCACCACGGCATGCAGCGGCACGGTCCCGAGTAATTTAGGGGAACTTTACATTTTCACATAAGTTTTCAAAATTACAGCTCTCGGATTCATGAACTTTTCAAACATGATTCAACTTCCTCATGCGCATTTGCCATCGAGTTTGATGTTATATTTGGCTGTCGTAAACAAGGCATTTGCTTGTGCAGAACACGATCGATATTCTGTGTGAGTTAAAGCTAGGTTAGAGGACTATGTTGCCGAATGTAGGAGGGTCCCGCGTAGAATTCTTGCAGAAGCGATTTGGCCAAATCGCGTAAAGTAGGCCTTAGGCCTAAGGCGTACCTGAGGCGATTTCAGCGCTGCACGATTTGGCATAGAAGCAACTGTTCGTATTTGGTCGTTACCGCCCTTTGTTTGGACATGTATCGAATATAGGAGACGAAATAATACTCAGAACTATAATCGCCTAATACCACTCGTCAGCCAACACAAAGATTATCTGCCACGCGGGTCTTGAGCGGTTGGACACGAGCACACCTTAAACTTGGGTGATTGAACTTTGTCAGAGAAACAAATAACAACAACAAATACGATAGAACAAATAACAAATAATGTTACTGAATGATAAACTACAAAGAGGAATGATATGATCAAAAGAAGACACAAATATATGAGTGAAATAATGTTAAAACAAATGAGCGAGAGTCGTACATGTGAATAACTCTGACTGTGCACTGTACTACCTATATGAGTACGATCACATTATCAAACCACAGCTGCGCGCGACATCCTACTGTTAGCTAGAAACCGTGAGCAATTCACATATGATGATAACATCTGCATATTCCTTTAATAGCAAAAACGATGCAAGCTGCTGAATTCATCTGTGCTCTGCAGCTGGCAGAGTATTACTAATAAACTACATGCATGTAATGAGTTTGCACATACTGAGAGTGAAAGGAACATTAAGAACTGCGAAGTTTGTATAGGACAGGACCTGATCCGTTTGCAAGAACTTACAAAAGCTACGCGTCCATGCATTTGAAAACCGCCCACGATGAATTTGTGGAAATCTGGCAGAACGCCAAGTCGTGGACGTCGCAATTTGGTCAAATCGCGTAAGGTATGCTCTAGGCCTTAGAAATGGCAGAGCCGAGTCTCGATCGCATAGGAAGGCCGTCATTACGGAGAATGCGACGGGCTAGTACAACGTCGGAGCACTACTCGAACAATGGCGATTCTTATTAGTACAAAACTTTTTACAGCGCGTCGCGTTCTTCGCAATTACGTCCAATTCTTACGTTGGATTGCTGGATTACCCGACGCTAAGTAATAATAGTCCTATCTTTTGCACAAACTGGAGGATGTACAAAAAAGCGATTTTTTGCTCAGAGTTCGATGGATGTATATTCCTGCGTCTTTTCTTTGGAGCTGCTTTCCGAATAACGCGAAAACGATATTCAGCTTTTTCCTGTGCCCCCTGCCGAGCTGTGGTTCACACGGTGAGTAAACGTTTTACTCAGCTCACGAGTTTTTTGAAGTCTGAATCAATTTAGCGACTTTGTTGGATGTCAGAGAGATAAAGTGCAAGTGCAAATGATCCAATGACATGTATTAATAGAGAGGTTCCATTTGATAGGTGGTCGATGAAGCGCAAACGGAAAATGACATCAAAAATGCAAGGGAAATCAAAATTGAATTTCTCACATAATACTCCTTAGGCACTGCGGACAACGACGTCATTCGAAGAGAAAAACTGGTCCGTCGTCTAAGGTAAGCTGATAGCTTTGACGAAAGGTAAGAACATACGACGTGCAGGCTTTGTAAAGTAAAGTACTCGTTTTGGCAAGGGATCTTTGCAAAAACTAAAGGGTAAGAAGGCAAACAGTAGGTAAGACTGGCAAATTTTTCAAAAAATTTGGAAATCAAAACCATGCAAATCTAAGATGGGAATCTTTACTGTTGCTTTGGAGTCACCCACTTCTCATTCTTGACGATAAAGAGTTCGGAACGGAGCAAAGCCACATATTTCCAAGCAACGGGAGCTTTGGTGAAATCTGTGCTCATGCAAAAACTACTGACTTTTTGACACAAACATGAAAAAGTAGACATTATGAAAGCGCGGTACAAAAAAATCAACAATGTAGCGCATCAGCTGGGACGCTGATGCAAGCGGCTAGATCGTGATGAATTTACAGATGATAAATAAATGGAAAACTTTACATAAGATGATTTTGGAAGCAGAAACAAAAAAATAATAAACATAGTACTGACCAAGCGGTGCCTTTTATGTCTACCGAGTCCATAGAACAAGAATCAACATTTTTTGACAGTTAATAGAAAATTGATTTAAGACAACATGAATTTAACATAGCTATATCTCTACCTACTATCGATCTTCGTTTCCCAAATCCTTCACAACAATCTTTCACTAGAGATGTTTCCCAGCAAAACAGAAAGTATCAATGGAAGTTTACGGATCTCAAAGTGGTCATTTGCGATTTTTTCCTGTGCAAACGCATTGAACGTGGAATTTGAAGCAGCTCGTGTAGTTCTTGCAAAAGCATAGACTTTCATTTTCAATGCTTCTAATGTATGGGCAGGTCATTTGACTAAAAATTATTAAGAACTGTGCTTACGCTTAGATTTACCAATGTTGTGAGTCCTTTCAGCGCAATGTTCCCTAGCTTGGATAGAACCCATATTTATAATAGGCGAGTCATCAATGGAGCACTTCCCCGTTCTTTCTCTGTATCCCATCGATGGGGCGGGACCATACAAAAAACGTCAAGCCATTGGGGCGAATGCGTGAGACGGCACTCACAGCCGCAGCAACGCCTACGGCCGCAGGACTCAGTCCAAGCTTTTCGATCTCTTTTGTCCATAGCTAGAAATTGTCTCAATGGAAATAGTCCCGAACTAATGGTCCTTACAGCACAGACAATCATCATTTTTTTGCTTTTAGGGGGGCTGCAGTATTCTGTGAGCCCCGCGCGAATGATAGTGACTCAAACTGGGATCATGAGCAGCGACGAGGAGAACACCAAGGGTAAGTTTTTACTCAACTTCTCCCTCTTCATAATCTTCTTATGCTATCAATTAGCTTCATATTGCATATCTACCACAATCTGTATCGCGAGTATCCTACATTCTTGTTGTTCGCACATAAAAACTACTTAAAACCTCATGGTAAATTTTGGACAAAAGAAAGACTCAGCATTCAGCTTAATACAACAATCAATGGATTCTTCCGCAAACGATTCTTCCTCCTGTTAAATTAGTAGTGAAAAAGCTGAGGGACGAGAAGCTTTTTCAGCGGTTTTTTGAACTAGTTTTTCTCCCTATCCTCGAAAAACAACTCAAAATGAAAAAATTAGGGAATTAATGTATGAATAATCTACTTAGACATGAGGGGGGGGGGGGAGTTGCGAAGCAGAATAGGTGGGAAATTTTCTTTAGTCAAACTTCTCGGCATTTTTCCATCGAAATTTGTTGTCTTTTCTCACAAAAAAGTGCAGATAAACGTTATTGAACATTTTTTTTCAGTATGTTAATTACTTCGAAGAGTTTCATCGAGGGGAAGACAGGTTGATTCTTCTTCGGCTTCTTAAACAAAGGCTGCTTATCTTTGCATTCGAATGAGCTAGCTTATGAAAAAGCGTAACATAGCCTAGCAAGTGAAATAAGCTAAACCTTCGCTCGCATACACCAATTTCCGAAAATTAAAAATCGTTGTGCTTGCCCTTCGAATTCGTGGCGTTTCCTAGCAGCAAGCGAAAACGTCGGCAGGAAAGCTTGAGCAAAATGGGCCGATAGAGCATGCAAGCGACGACGAAGAAGGAAGTGCTTGAACTGGATTGAGGAAAATTTTCCCTAAATTGATTTGCGCTGAGAAAAATCCTTTTAGGTTTGGATGCTTGTTGAATTCTAAACATGCATTTTTTTGCGATTCACTCCAAATTCAAATTTCCTAGGTTGCAGTGGGTCAAAGATTTTGTAGTCTCTTGGTGATTGAATAATTGTGCGTTTTTAAATCAAAAAAATGTAACAAGGGCTGATCATTCCTGTCCAAACATGGCCTGGCAATTTCGGAAATGCGAGAAAAATTGAATCAGCGCTATTTTGACTTACTCTATTAATCAACTGATTATTTGATATGAAAGAATAGTATTGAGTTCTAAATTCAAATCAGAAGCTTTGAAAATTCAACTACTGCTTCAATAAGTACATAATGAATGCTTTCCCACTTTGTGCAGGTTGTTAATTCAATGATGACAACCTATTAGGGTGTCCCATATTTTTGTACCGTTTTTATTTCCTACCACAATAACTCATACTCTTCTTGTTTCTAATGAGGTTCGGTATACCATTATTCATCAGAGCAAAGCGAGCTTTACAAGATGGCACCCAAAATGCTTCTGCATAAATTTCAAAACAGGAAAAGGAGATTCAAATGCCCGTATGGAAGAAATCATATAGCTGCTTAAAAATTTCCCATGCATCTTTCACTTGCTCAGGGGTACTCTCACATCTGAAATTCATTTGCTCATTCCTTTTATGGCTGGATCTCGGGAAGCACACATACATAAAAGTAGGCCACAAATACGAAAATGCTAAGCTTGATATATCTCATAAACTGCTTGTAAAAGGGCAAAATTTATAATTTTAGTTCCAAAGGTTCATACTGTAAGATAATTGGGAGCAGGCCAGCGTCGCCTAAGCTCCGCCTGCTGCTCTTCCATGGGCTGGCCGAGAAGGGAAGATGGGAGCGAGCCAGTGACCGTCTACGATGGCGCTGCGTAAAGCTGCTTCGGCAGTCCCCCTTCCTCTTTTATAATAATATATGTAGATGACAGTGGGGGTCCCAGGTTTTCCGTCCGCGGAGTGGGTGGGCAAAAAAAATTTTCCAATGGAGGTGAGTGGCGCTAGCCACGCTCTCCGAAAATTTTTTTGAGGCCTTCCCAAAGCGAGTCTTGCGGGTTTTGAACCCCTAAAATCTGGAAAAGGAGCCGAAAATTTTTTAAGAGGCTAATTTGAATTTTTAAAAACTTTCGAAAATTATTTCAATTGTTTAATAATTATTGCTAACAATAAATAAGTCACTTGCGCATTTTTGTAACCCTTATAAGTGATTTCGAAAAATTCCGCGACCCATTCTCGGGGAGGGGGGGGCTCTCGGCTCACCACTGTTAGGTAATAATTTTATTTAATACCAACCTGTACGCTACACATCAAGCTAGGCCGTACACCCCTAGACTTGACAAAACTAATAGATCTACAGATAGACCCGATGTGGAGACTACATGCCTAATAGGAGGTCTAAAATAATTTTTTGATAGGAATCACGACTTCTTCTTGACCTTCAGACATTTAGATCTTCTTGGATTTCGGTTTCTCTATGTAGAACAATCACTGAGCAAATGTTTAGTGCTGTCTTGTAGAGCCTAAGTTTCCATATGTGAAACAAGAAAGTAATGGTAGTAATGATACTAGTGAGCTTAGATACGTCATCAGGGCGCACCACGTCCGCGTGGACATTGCGTGTCGCGCATGTATAGTTGAGTCACTGGGAAACAACTTTACTCCTCCTATCCCAGCATATCAGTCGACAAAATAAGTATACAAAGTGTCAGAATTTTGTCTCAAATAAAAATAATCTAACCTAGCAAATTTGAGTCGTTTTCAATTGAGAGGCTAAGCGTTACGACCTACGCCAGATAGATTATACTGATATACAGCAGAGATACGAAGGTTATGTACGAGCGCAAAACGCACTAAACTATTCATATCTTGTGTAATTCTTTCACCTTTGATACGAGAGGCAAAATCTCAGCAGAAAAAATTCCGAGTTGTAACCCTCCCCCCACCCACCTCGCTTTATTCTTTGTCTCGCACTTCACATTTGCATCCATTTCCTTTAGAACCGAATGTACTTCACGCGATTTTAGTCGCGACGCGATTTGGCAACATTCCAACTGTCCATAACTCATTGTAAGCATATTTCAAATGTACAGAAGATAGGGCATTTCATCAATCTACGTAAGTTATACACGCTATGCATGTGCAGTTTGCTAGCGTTAGATCTGAAGACTTCTGGCAAATTGCCAAATCACGTCGCGACTGAAATCGCATGGAGTATGTCCGGCCCTTTTGATAAGAGGATTAAGGATTAAGGATTCGGCGTCTTCAATACCCTCTGAGGGCATGCGCCGAACGCACACATTAACTTCATAGTCGAAGAGGCAATTGTATGCGTGCGAGCCTCTTACAGTGACTTGCGGGGGCCAGCCTTTTCCAAGTCAGTGCTTTTATCCTCTCAGATTACTCTGGTACCAATTTACCGGCCCCGGAGGGTAGAGGGCTTGGTTGGCCTAGGGGCGGGGATCAAACTTGTGTCCGATCTGGTCATAGCGGCGCCTCATACCACTACGCCACTCGTCACCTGATAAGAGAATAGCACGTCTAAAACCAAAGCTTCCACGCGATTGAATGACTCTATAAGGTCTATTGACAGCTGCTTAATATTCAAGTGCAAAAGCTATAAAGGAAAGAGCGTAGATAAAACTGCTAATAAAGCAGTTTTTACTGAATAATACAAGAAGTCTCAAATCAAAGAGCATCTTTTTGACAAGGCTTTCCAGTGCATCTGTCAATGATAACGTGCTGCTTAAGGAAATAGTCCCATTCTTACGTGACCCTAACGGAAAGCAACTCTAGGAATAGCCATCAAGCGAACGATAATTAACAAAAACACCTGCCACTGTACTAAAGAGTCGCTCCACATTTCTTCGCTGTCAAAAATATAGCGCACTTTGCCGGGATTCCCCGTTCTTGGCGTCTCGTGACTCTTCAGCCGTCGTCCCCAAAGCTGTCGTCTAATACTTGCTTGGCTGCTTTGTGCACATTCACCGATGAGTATTATGAATTCTGCCCCAATTTCTGAGCCTTAACTCTGATCCCCTCTCACACTTCTTCCAGTCTACTTCTTGTCAAAGCTGAGTTAGATTGCTTCAAAAAATATACAAGTGGAGATGATAATCATCTTGGCTCATTGTTTCTCATGACTTCTAAGGTACTTATGAAGGGTGGCTTAGCTCAGAATTATGCATTAGTTCTCTCAATAAATCAATTTTTACATTTTAAACAGTTCCACACTCTCTTGATTCACAATAGACTCAAACTTTTTTGAAGCTCTGAAATTCTCGACTGAAGCCTAAAATGGAGTAATTATGAATACATCCTGAAACTTGAATAATGCGGTTCTGTTCTATACTTTAGGCTCAGGCTGAAAGCCTCTTGTTTTTTGCTCTTGTTTTTTTTTTCATGTGTACGAGATACATCAAAGACATAGGGTAACTATGGGTACATGCGGCGACTTGTTGAACTAATGGCACCTGCAAGACCGACGCCTAGTGCTCGCTCGATAATAAACGACGTACCTAGCCTACTACGCTCCCTAACGCGAGAGTCGGAACGAATCGAACCAACTGATTTATCCCAATGACATTAAACTACTCAAAAACGATAACGCACTATTATAAAAAAGCCTACTAAGCAAAACTACTACGAGATAAAAGTACTAAAGCAACACTGGACATGGGCCCGTCTCGTGCTACCGATGCTCTATTATAAGCTCATCTTAACGCATATGATTCTCGAAAGATCACGCAACAAATCCACCGCGCAACGCCAAAGCTTCAAACAACGTCTTTGCATCTCCTGCTCCCTTGGTTTCACAGTCCCAACTTCAGACTCAGTTCCATTATAGCTGCACTATAGCGCGAATCCATTGACTGAACATTCAAAACATCTTCCAGTACGAAGCATCCAGCTCAAGTGCTTTTTTCAGTAAAGGGCAGGAACATATTACTGCCTTAAAGGTATTTCGTAGATAGAGCATAAAGTCGATAAGACGTAATCGAACAAAGCACCAAACAGAGGCACTAGATACCGAGCCAACAACAAGTTAAAAAAGGGAGGTCCTGAGACGATCGCTTCGCTTCGCGTGTCTTGGCTACTGTAGTCGTCGGCGGATGGCGCGGCAATTAA